CCAGTCCAGGGCCTAACTGTTCCCCACATGTTCCTGAGGGTCTCAGAAACGACAGCTGCTCCTCTTCCTTGATACTGCCACCCACCCTGTGGTCTCTGATTGTTCCAGACCCTTCTTTTTAGACTACTTTGAGTCTCTAGAATAATGATGGAATACAACAGTCACTTTACTCCCTGAATACTTAGTTCTCCGAGGCTGCCCCTCCTGCTACCTTCTCTTTATGCCACTTTCGTCTGTTCTGAAATCACTTAGTGGAACAGCACATTAGGCACTGGGGACATGTTTCGTAGAGTCCTTGTTGTCAAGGTGTATAAGTTACTTAAAGAGTTCCCCGGGAGAACGTGAGAAGCATTCACTGCCAGGGGGAGTGAAGGGCCAGGGGAGTTTGTGGTCACATTGTTTCCCTGCCTCCTCTCTCCAGATACTTTCTAGGCCTGGCCTCGGTGTGAGACCCTCTCCCAGGTTTCCTCTTTTTTGGTGATGTCTCCTCAAAGAATGAGACCTAAGATCCTATCATTTTGAGGAATGGGGTGTCCCTCATGGGGCCTCAGACAAACCATATCATGCCAAGTTCATCTGTCACATGGAGCCAACAAAGAGCCAATCCCAAGACAGAGAGAAAGGGAGGGGTGGACTTCAGGGCTGGGGAGGTGGAAAGGACCAGCAATAATAGTTGGCTAGAAGAGAAAGAAGGCAGGCATAGTTTACATGTTGGATGTTATGTCCTCTGTTCCAGGCTGGCCATGTGGTCCTGGGCTGAATTAGGATTGAGGAGCAATTGGGGTTGGACAGATTACCCCTCCTGTATCTCCATCTGGCTCAACAGAGCTAGAGACCTTCAGCTCCCACTCTGAGACTCCCTTTGAATGCTCTGCAACCTGGTTTACCCTGTTGACACTGAGGGCAGGGACCAGAAGGGGACCAGGGAGGTCAGTTTTTTATTAGGTACAGTAGTGGGAAGGCCAGGCTCCACGGCAATCACAGTTTGGTTGCAGTGCAACCAAAGCTTGGGAACCTCGGGACGGGAAAGACGTCCTCCACAAGTCA